AGATGGACAGAGACGGGGCGGGGGGGGGGAGTCAGGAAGAGGGATGAGAAGAGAGAGATGGGGATAGAGACATAAGAGAGATGGAAACTTGAAGGCAATGAAAGAGACAATTGATGGCAAAGACAAAGTGGGGCAGAGGGAGACAGAGATAGGAAGAAGACAAGGATGGGGAAGGGGAGACGGAGGAGGGGAAGAGGAGAAAGAATTGGGAAGGAGAGACAGGAGAGAGGAAGCAAATGGGGGAGGGAAAGCAGATGGTGGAAGGAAACCTATGGGACAGGGAAAGAGACGTTGGGGGCGTCCCTTTTCCCCACCCCAAGGTTCTGGGGAAGAAGCCAGAGGCCTGAGGCCAAGACTGGGGCTTTGAGCGGAAACCGGGAGGGGGTGAGTTATTCACAAAGCGCCCGCCTTGCCCTAAGTTTCCAGAAGGTGATGTGGAGTTTCCATCTCTCCGCCGCAGACAGGGCCCCCGGGGAAGACCGCTGGCCCTCAGGAGCTGGGGGCCTATATACGTAATTGCTATGCTCTACCCATTTCTCTGGTTGTTCCCCAAGTGCCTGGTGCCTTTGTGCCAAGCATTGTGCATCATCTTTCTTAGTAAGTGGATCAGAGGGGAAATGAGTACCATCCTCTCTTTAGAATGCTTGTAGGAGCCTCAGAGTGGATAAAATGGCTGTCAAAATCGCCCAGCTGGTATAAATGAGCCGAAGTAGGATTCGAACCCCCAACTTATTTCTCCGAAGCCGGCGCCGCTTCGCTGAGACACTGGCCCCGCCCGGTTTCCACAGAAACAAGCACCAGGTGTCTCCGTAGCAACCCCTCTGTGGCTTTCTGCTCGCCTGGTGACGTCACCGCGCAGTTCCGCCTCACGTCGTCACCTCGCCGGCGCCGGAAGTGAGCGGCGCGGCGCCGGAAGCACCCGGCAGAAGCGTCCCAGCGGAGGAGTTGGCGGCATGGGGCAGTCGGGGCGGGTGAGGCGCGGCGGCCTGGGGGCGAGGGCGCGGGCGGGGCCGGTGGGGGGCCGGTGGGGTCCCTGCGGAGGCCGTGGCGCTGACCGCTCGCCTTTCGCCCCTGCAGTCCCGTCACCAGAAGCGTGCTCGCGCCCAGGCGCAGCTCCGCAACCTCGAGGCCTACGCCGCGCAGCCGCACTCGTTCGTGTTCGCGCGGGGTCGCGCGGGTCGCGGCGTCCGGCAGCTCAGCCTGGACCTTCGTCGGGTCATGGAGCCCCTCACCGCCACCCGCCTGCAGGTCTGCACCTCCCACCCCGCCTCCATCAGCCTTTGGCCCCGTCTTCGCCGCTACAGAGGTGGCTCCAACCGCAGAACCGCGCGAGCCTTCAGGCCCCCTGGCAGGAGAAGGGGACCTTTATGGGGACCATCGTCCCTGCCTCTTCGGATTTTGTGGGGCAGCTGCGAGGGGGCGCAGATGAACCCGCTTTGGCTGGATGTCTAAGACTGGTGGTTAAAAAGGGACTAGAGTTAGCAAAGCTCGAGTGGAAACTTGGGTTCTCTCAAAGGCCTGGAGAAAGTTAATTAACGTCGCAGGGCCCAGGTGGCTCATCTGCAAAATGGGCCAGGCACAGTAAACGAGCAAATTTAAGTCGGGTTAGGTCCAGAGGTCAAGAACATTCCACTCCTTTCTTTCTGCGACAGGTTAAATGCAAGAAAGGGCATAAGAGCTTCAGCTTATAGCCCTTGCTCGCGGAGAGGATACCTAACGATCTTTCCATTTTGTGTTTGTAATTCTCAGATACGAAAGAAAAACACTCTGAAGGATTGTGTGGCAGTGGCGGGGCCCCTTGGGGTCACACACTTTCTGATCTTGAGTAAAACGGAGACAAACATCTACTTTGTGAGTTAACACACCCACACCCCTCATCTTCCCCCTGCCCTCCTCCTCCCCCAACTCTCACGATGAACCCATATGCCTCTGAGTTGCCATGATTCTGGCTTCAAAGTAAACGCTCTGAAGAGATGGGGCGGAGGTTCCCACTCCCTGCTGCCTAGCCGGACACCTTGACTCTGACCAATCCTTTTGTTTTGTTTTTCCCCGTAGAAGCTGATGCGCCTCCCAGGAGGCCCCACCTTGACCTTCCGGATCAATAAGGTAAGGGTCAGAGGTAATGAGGGCCATGTTGGGTAGAGGATGAATTCAGGGAGGGCGCCAGCCATGTGTGGCTGTCAGGCCTCACTCCTCCCCCCGTCCTGCAGTACACACTAATGCGCGACGTGGTCTCCTCCTTGCGCCGACACCGCATGCACGAGCAGCAGTTTGCCCATCCGCCCCTCCTGGTGCTCAACAGCTTCGGCCCCCACGGCATGCATGTGAAGCTCATGGCCACCATGTTCCAGAACCTGTTCCCCTCCATCAATGTGCACAAGGTAGGCTGGGCCTGGGGCGGTGACAGGTGAGGGTGGTAGGGCGGACAGTAGGTACCACACGTAGGCCCTTGGCTTGTTTGCTCGGTCCTTGCCTCTCAGCGCGGAGGCAGAGCACTCTGGCTCCTGAGGTCACATCTCCCTCACGTGTTCGTGACCCTGGGGTAACAGACTCCCTCGTAAGCTTTCTTCCTCTCTGAAAGGTGGAGAATGATCCTGATTGTCCTTTATTTCTTGAGTGGGGATTGAGTATTAGCCTGAGCAGCGTGCCAGGTACTTGGGACACCAGTTGACGGATGGGGAGACAGACTGACAGAGGGGAAGTCATTAGTCAGAGGTTAGACGCAGAGGGCAGGACTGGGTTTTTTAAGCTGTCTGGCTCCAGAGCCCTAGTTCCTAATCCCTGGCACCAGCTGGTCTCAGGTAAGGCTTGTTAGGTGCTGATCATCAGGGAGCAGTCCACCACAGTGTGGACGGCTTCGGTGGGCCTCAGAACCAAGAACTCTAGCCAGTGCGCCTGCCACTCCATTAGTCCCCCCAGTGCCACATCTCCCTGCTGAGAGATTTCTGGAACAGGGCCAGGGCCTGCTGTGGCTCCAGCACACAGGGAAGCCCGTGGGCAGTTGACATGTTGCTGTGCCCTCGCCTCTCCCTTCCAGGTGAACCTAAACACCATCAAGCGCTGCCTTCTCATCAACTACAATCCTGACTCCCAGGAGCTAGATTTTCGTCATTAGTGAGTACTCTTGTTGAGGGGCGGGGGGGAGGGGAGGAGGCAGGGCTTCCACGTGTGGCTGATGACAACGCTCCTGCTGAGGCTCTGTGATTGTCCAGTTTCAAAGTAAACGCCCTGACGCACTGTGGAAAGGGGAGGGGGGCAGAGCTGACCTCCAGTCTCAGGATCCCTAACCCCCCTTCTCACACCCTGGGTGTTGCAGTAGCATCAAAGTCGTTCCTGTGGGCGCAAGTCGTGGGATGAAGAAGCTTCTACAGGAGAAGTTCCCCAACATGAGCCGTCTACAGGACATCAGCGAGCTATTGGCCACGTGAGGAGGGCGCTGGGTGGGGAGATCACTACCGCGCCAGAGACCCCGGAGCTGTTCCAGGAGCCTGGGATCCCCTACTGACCAGTGTGTCCTCTGCACAGGGGCGCCGGGCTGTCCGAGAGTGAGGCAGAGCCCGATGGGGAGCACAACATCACGGAGCTGCCCCAAGCCGTCGCAGGACGCGGCAACATGCGGGCCCAGCAGAGTGCCGTGCGGCTCACTGAGGTGAGGGCCCAGCCCAGGGCAGGCACAGGGTCAGAAGTGACTTCCTCTGGCAGTTCCCCTCCCCCTTCCCCCCGGCCCTGAAGAAGGACTGACTCGTCCCCTGTGTCCCTCCAGATTGGGCCCCGGATGACACTGCAGCTCATCAAAATCCAGGAGGGTGTTGGGGAGGGGAACGTGCTGTTCCACAGTTTCGGTGAGAACGGGGCTGGGGAAGCAAGGGGCTGGGAGTCCAAGGCCCTCACGGGTGGGTCGCGAGGTGCACTGACACATCTGGGTCTCCGTGACCCATCTCTTCCCGCTCAGTGCACAAGACTGAAGAGGAGCTTCAGGCCATCCTGGCGGCCAAGGAGGAGAAGCTACGGCTCAAGGCCCAGAGGCAGGACCAGCAGGCCCAGAATGTTCTGCGCAAGCGGGAGCAGCGGGAGGCACACAGGTGTGTGGCCGTGGGCCGTGCAGGTGAGGCAGGGTCTCAGGTGCAGGCCGCCACCCTAAATGATCTCTCCCTCCAGGAAGAAGAGCCTGGCAGGCATGAAGCGGGCGCGGGCAGAGGCCAGTGGGGATAGCGATGCCGAGGACCCCGGCGCCCCCCCAGAGGGGACCGGCCAGCGAGAGGAAGAGGAGGATGAAGCCGAGTATTTCCGCCAGGCAGTGGGAGAGGAGCCTGATGAGGGTATGTGGCAGGGGTTGGTGCAGCTGGGCACCTTGAGCCCGTCCCTGTGGCCTGGTGGCCTTCACGTGGTCTCTCCCCACAGACATGTTTCCGAAGGCAGCCAAACGAAGACGGTCTGCCGGGCCCCCCGGCAAGAAGCAGCGAGGAAGGGGGCAGAGGCCAGATCGAGGCGCTGACCGGAGGCCTCCAAAGGCCAAGGGCAGGCCCCAGCGGGCCCAGGCCAAGCTGGAACGCAGAGGAGCTGCCTGGGAGCACAGGCGGGGCCGAGCACAGCCACCTAAGAAAGCAGTCTGAGGCCAGGCTGGTGCAGTGGATGGAATGCCCCAAATTGGGGCCCAAGAGCCTTTGCCCTGGGCTTCCACCTGGGTCTCCAGGGGCAGCCCTCGGTTTCCTTTCATAAAGGAGCGGTTTTCTCCAACCTCCCACGCTGGTGAATGCTTGATTTCCCGTGAGTCTTGCGTCTGCATTGGGAATGGGGAGAGCTGGAGTCCCATGGTAGAAAGCCCAGAGGCTCGGGGCCAGGAGCTTCTGGGAACCGGGCTAGGTTCGCGCCCACATCCTGAGCAGTGGACACGCAGGAACTGTTTTGCAGGTGAGGGCGATGGGCAGATTCAGTCTGGTGCCTCGGGGTGTCCTGGGCCTGTGCCCAGCCTAACCCCCCAGGCCCCCGTTACCTGCAAGCCAGTGACTAGGCTGCTCTGGAGGGCAAAGTGTGAGGAGGAAGGAGGCCGGGGGTGGAAGCGAAGCTGGCTGGTGTTGGTAGTGGGCGGAGCTGAGCTGCCAGCGCCGAGAGAAAGAGGGTGGGGCTGCTGGGAAGGAAGGGGCCCCGCCACGCCGCTGGTTAGCTCGGCAGCGGCTCGGCTCGGCACCAGTGCTCCTGGTGGCGCGGCTTCAGCGCTGGACCCAGAGGCAGGGCACGTGGGCCATGGCTGCCGCCACATCAGGTGAGGGTCCTGGCCCCTGTGGCGCTGCCCAGGACCGAGGCTGGGGGTGGCCGGCTCCTGGGAGGCAGACGGGAGGGACTTAATCGCGTCTGGACAGGGACTTCCTCCCAGGGCGGAGATGGGACGAGGAGGCAGAAGCGTGGTTGGGGAAGCAGTCGCGTGGGGGAGGGAGGGCCGCTGGCACCTTGCACGGAGCTCGTGGCCAGCCTGCTGGACAGACTGGGAGCAGGCCGTGCACCCAAAGCTGAGGCTAAGTTGGGTACATGAGAGGGAATCCATTCCAGATCTCTGTTCTGGTCCACGCTGCTGTGTCCCAGGCCTTGTTCTGGGCTCTGGGAAGCCAGTTGTGGGGCACTCCCTGCCCTCAGGAGAGGTCTTCTGGGTTGGGTTTGGTTTTTGTTTTTGTTTTTTTTTTCCTCTCAACAGGGGTCAGATGGAAGCGCAGGATTCGCATAAATAAGGGGGACAGGGTGCAGTTGTGATAATAGAGGGTCAGAATATCCTCTCAAAAAAAACCCTCTCAGGGCTAAAGACCAGGAGGTGAGTGGGGGCACTGGTGACTCAGGAAGAGAGAATCAGTGCAAAGGCCCTGAGGTGGAATGTGCGTTAAGGAATAGAAAGCCAGTGTGGGAAGAAAAAAACAAAGCTAGTGTGGGAAAGACCTAGGGAATGAGTCACAGGGAGATGAGAGGGAGCAGCTGGACGGAGGTTTGCTCCTGGGGCTCCTCCGTGGCAGAGGTGAGCACTGCCTTTTCCTCCCAGTGAGGAGGGAGCCTCAAAGGTGAAAGCTGCCTGATTCGGGTGTCTTTGGGTGCCCTCTGGAGGCCGTGGGGGGAACACGTTGGGAGCTGGGAGGCCAGTGCCTCTGACACTGAGAAAGTGACCGACTCTGAAGGTGGAGGCAGCAAGGCTTGATGGATTTGGGAGGGCCACGGTGGGGTTGGGGACTCCCCCAGACTCCCCCTCCTCCACGCAGGCCTGGTGGTTGTGGATTGTCATTGCTGGCTTATGGCTGTCACGTGAAGGCGATGACTGCCTAGTTCTGGAATTCAGGACCCAGAGCAAGCCTAGTAGATATCACCTGAAAGGACTCGGGCTTCTGACGTTTCTGGGCCCGATTTCCTCCGTAAGAAGTTGCTGTGGCTGGTGTCCCCTCCTGGGCATGGGAAGGACTCCAAGAAAGTGTGTCCCCAAAGGGCTGGTGCAGCCTGCCACGTGGTACGTAATCTGAAGGACTGGGCTCTGAAGGCATCAAAAGCCACGCGAGGAGGGACGGCGCTCACTTGGTGACACCATCTGCCCACAGGTGCCATACCCTGCCCGACCAACTTCTCGGCCGCCGCCGATCGCGTCCTCGGTCGTTTCCAGGAAGACTTTCTGTGGCCCGTGCTGGTGGTTGAGTTCCTGGTGGCCACGGCCAGCAACGGCTTCGCCTTATACCGCTTCGGCACGCAGGAGCGGCGCCCGTGGCACCCGGCGGTGGTCTTCTCGGCACAGCTGGCCGTCAGCGACCTGCTCTACGCCCTGACGCTACTCCCGCTGGCCGCCTACCTCTACCCCCCCAAAAACTGGCAGTACGGGGAGCTGGCGTGCCGCCTGGAGCGCTTCCTCTTCACCTGCAACCTGCTGGGCAGCGTCCTCTTCATCACCTGCATCAGCCTAAACCGCTACCTGGGCATCGTCCACCCCTTCTTCACCCGCAGCAGCCTGCGCGCCAAGCACGCCTGGGCCGTCAGCGCTGCCGGCTGGGTGCTGGCAGCCGTGCTGGCCGCGCCCACGCTCGGCTTCTCCCACCTGAAGCGGCCGCAGCAGGAGGGGGACTGCTCTGTGGCCAGGCCGGGGGCCTGCACCAAGTGCCTGGGGACGGCGGACCAGCACCTCGAGGCCTACGGAGCCTACAGCCTGGCGCTGGTCACGGCGGGCTGCGGCCTGCCGCTGTTGCTCACCCTGACGGCCTACGGCGCCCTCGGGTGGGCGGTGCTGCGCAGCCACGGCATGACGGCGGCCGAGAAGCTGCGTGTGGCGGTGCTGGTGGCCAGCGGCATGGCCCTCTACGCCGGCTCCTACGTGCCCTACTACGTGACGCTGGTGCTCAACGTGTCCGCCCGACAGCACTGGAGAGCCCGCTGCCCAGGCTTCGCTAACTCGGCCGAGGCCGAGGCGGCGCTGGATTGGAGGACCTACGTGAGCCACCAGGTGATGCGGGGCCTCATGCCCGTGGCCATCTGCATCCACCCTCTGCTGTACATGGCTGTGGCACCCAGCCTCGGCTGCTGCCCCGGTCCAGGAAGCTGCCTCGGCTGCGGGGAGAGCCAACCCCCCGAGGACGCCGGGAGCTCTGGCCAAGTCCTGCCCCTCAATGTCACAGCCACCCCCAAAACCTCGGGGTCCTAGTCCCCCGAGCTGAGCCGACGACCCGGCCTATTTTGAGCCACTGCCGCCTGCCCTGGAATCCATCCGAGAGCATGGCAGGCCCCAAACCGCCACTTCCTCCGTGGTCTACAGAAAGACCTGATGGGGGACTGAAGGTGCCCAGGCCAGGGAGGGCAGGAACTTCTGCCTGAAGCCCTGATCCCGGAGAGGGCTGGCCCCCACTAGCCACAGAACAAGTGACTAGACAAGGTGAATAAACAAGACAGCACGTGACAACCGCAACCTTTTTATTGCCGGGAGCCCCGCGCTCGGAGGAGCTGGCTTCCGTGGGGGCCCTGGGGGCCGGGTGGCTGCTGGCTTAGTTGGTTGACGGCCTGAAGAGAGAAACGGGTGGTGAGAACAGCCTGTGGGGGAGGAGTTCAGATCCCAAAGGGAATTCCAAGACTCCTTGCTACATACAACTGGGGCCTCCGTGGCAATGGGGGGGGGGGCAGGG